AGGAAGAGGAGGAGGTTGTGGTTGTGGAACTACTGCTGGATATAATTTGAAGGCACTTGACGAAGGCGGAGGAGGAGAGGTTAGCTGTGCTGCCCACCTGCTGACCACATAACCCGCTAGCAGGCTCATCTTGGCTGCTGTTGGCTGTTGACAGCCCCTCCCAAATGTGCACTAGAAGACTGAGACGTTGCGCATGCTTTTCGGTTTTGCAATGCAGCTGGAAGTTGGCCTTCAGGGCACTGCGATAAGTGCATACCCTGCAGTGCCACATGCCATCCGCGTGCGTCGTAACTTGCCGGTTGGTGGCCTCCAAATCAAGCGGGATGCGACTACGTTCGGCGTGTTCTATCAACGCCTCGGGGTTGTCGGTGCAGAAGGACGAGCAGATTAGGCATACCAGAGGCTGGCCCATCGTCTCGGGTAGATGCAGGAGGTCAGAGTCGCCTGGCAGACCGAGGAAGCTTTCACCCTGTATTGTTGGCGCGTTCTTCGTGGGTACTGTGGCAGCGAGGAGTTGGGAGGAGTGTTTTGTGACATGTCTTCCGTTGTTTTGAAGACCATTTTGTTGTTTAAAAGAATTAATAACTGGGGGCAGAAATCTGGGTCCACTGTTGAAGGCGGCGTAGAGATCTAGGTCTGAGTTGGTGGATCCCTGAACGTCTGGGTCTCCTGGCATCTTTTGGTTGGTTATATATGGACTCTTTGATTCTTTTTCCAGGGAAAGACCGGTGGCACCGGCGATCTTGCCGTTCTTGAACTTAGTCAGTACTCCTGTCGTAGATTCTTCGAGAGACTTCAGGTACTGCAAACTCTGTTGATGGTCATAATCCTATGTTACAAAGAGGGCCGGAAATTTTGATTAATATCACCGCTGAGGGAGCAAAAAGTGTCTCTTTAGGAACAAAGACGTTGTGACAAAAGGATACGATAATCCCATATGACATGTTGCCGTGGACAGTAAGCGCGGATTGGTCATCAACGGCTCGATAGCAGTCTTCTATGCGTCAGGCGACAATCAGAGGTTGAGTTTGACGCTGTGACGGCCTAGCTAGCTATTGGTTTGCTCTGTGATAATTTAAACTGAGAATGTTCACACCAGCTGGAAGATAAGGCCACCTACCGTTTGTTTTACTAACTGTTGCGTAACGTAAGCAAAAGTTCCCAGACCCCATGGCAGATAGAGCCTTTGTGCTTTGCCTCACAGTCAAAAGAGATCAAGGCTTGGTTCAGTGCAGAATTGTGAGATATTTTGAGCTAAGATTGGGAAAAATAAAATCCTTAAAGTACTTTAGAGGTCCTTACATTGACAGCAGGGAGCTCCCATACTTCCTTCTCTCTAAACAATATGGGACCGTGACGGTATCACGAGCCGAATGACGGTCAGTCGCATTTTCGCACTTCAAATACTAATTTACTATCCACTTTCTTTACCCCTGCTTTATAATGTTTACCAGTGAACACAAAATCTGTAAAAATAAAAGGAAAATAATAGCCTAGTTAATTAAATAGAAAACGCGAACCAATAGTGAAACAATTGTAGGCTTATTTTTGAACCATCCTCCATAGTAACCACTAAACGTTCCATGAAAAATCGTCGGCTTTACAGCTAAAGGGACCCATCATATAGCAAAATCCGTAATTTAGGTTGGGCTAGGTGACCATCGCTCGGAGGTTGGTAAAAAAATTAAATGCCAGGGTCTTTTAGCTAGTACCTGGGCTGTTAGTATAGTAAGTTACAACATCAGTATATACTACTAGAGTCTGTCTGTTGGTAGCATGTGTATATTACGCAGTGGTTGACGCGTTTCAGCCGAGATACGCACTTACAATTTCGGTCTCTGTCTATAGACCTTAAATATAATGATGCATACCGCGAACAGAAATTAATTTCTAAGGAAGTTAAAAAGCTGAAGATTCAAAACCGGTATATCAATCAGAAAGCAGACAGGAAAAGCTGGGGGAACCACTGATAAGCCAGAGCCCTCGCAACTGTGTCAAGCAGCGGCAGAATACCGGCGAAACACGTGTCAGAGCCTTTTAACTAGTACCTGGGCTGCTATTATGGTAAGTTACAAAATCAATGTCATTTATCTTAACAGGGACGTTCTCCACGAATACGCCATGATAGCCAAAAAATCGGTAGGACATTTGAGCCTAGACGCTATCCCAAATTTAAACTGTTTCACCCTGATCCGCATACGTGTAGTGGACAGTCCTAAAATACCAGTGGACTCACTTCACCGTAATCACCAATCAACTCGACATTGGACCGCGTTGCCTTACCTGAACATTATTCAAATGCTTGTCCGACTGCTCGTGGATTGCAAGGTTGCCCTTTGTGACGGTGGAGTAGTTGCAGATCTCGCATCGATAGGGCTTATAACCGCAGACGTAAGATTCACCCCTCCCCAACCGAGGATGTGCAACATTCGCCAGACAATATGCACAATTCTGAGCCTCGGTGTTCCTGTTTCTTGGAGAGCAGGAAGTCGCTCTGCCACCAACAAACGGGAGACAGTCCTGAGGCAAGGGTATTTTCACTAAACCCTTCTGGTGGATATCAAGGACGCTCGTGAGTTCTGGCGGCAAGAAGGCCTCAGTAAGGACATTTAATGGCGGCTTCCCCGTAAAGCTGATGCACGGAGTCCGCGTAGAGTTTGACGATTCTGGCAGTAGGGCGTCAGCATCACTCTGCTTCGGTCGCTTTGAGTCGGTAATGGTGATCATGGTTCACGTCGGGCCAGGGTAGGTTGATAGACGAAGTATCCTACGGTTTCCACTGGTTCCTGTCCAAGACAAAAAGCCATAGGGAAATCAAGACAGGTTTTAAGGATGCTCAACTCCTAACACCCCCCTTTGCTTGATAGATCCCTCAAAGTTTAATGTCATAACGGCTTTTAAATAAATGATTATCATTGTGCCTGTATGCCATTGGAAAAACATCGCTTTGTCCGTAGCTAGTTCGCTCAGCGTGCTCTTAGTCGCCAAGGCTGATGGAATTGGCCTACTTCCGAAAACATCGGCTATTTGATCTTTGATAGATAAACAGATTGTGCAGCAGACATTGGAAACTTACCGAGATACAAAAGCGTCACTTCACTTGGGACTGCATTCTGTATATCGATGACTGATTTGAGTCCACCAAGCTAACAGCCAAGAAGAATACCCCGTATCATTACTGAAGAGCGAACTTGTGGATACATAAGTGACATTTTGACAGGATTTTAGTTAAATTTAAAATATGAAACACTTCAAAGTTGCAAAGAATATGAAGGTGCGATCACTGGGATAGCAAATTTATTTGTCTAAGCTTTCGGCTTCTTACAGGAGGCCATCTTAAGAGACAGTGGGAGGGCAGCGAGAATTGATGTGTTCTAATTTGGGCTGCGTGTGTTCCAGTTTATACGAATTGATATGTTCTGTATTCCAGCCACAACAAAGAAGGGGTGGGGAGAGGGGTGACATTCGGGAAAGGTTGGGTCCACGCTCACTTCGTCGTCACGGCGTGTGTCCTTGACTCAGAACTGAGCCGCTCGAACGAAGGGCGTGATACCAGTGGGGTATATCAACATGCCTGTATCAACAGCAAAGCACAGCTACGCTGTTCAGCGGCGTTGATGACCGGTTTTTGGGGCGATCTGACAACGAAACATGAGACTGGGTCGCTCGATGGCAATGTAGTGGCTATGTTACCATCCAGAAAGAAGTAGTATCTAGGTTCACCTGTCAGTGTCCGTCCTAACTTTCGGTACTGTAACGTTAAATGAGTCTGGCGGATAGGATTATCTCCTCTTGGGGGGTATGGTACCCAGCTTGACAATACTCGGTTAATTAATCCCTTTTGTTGACGTTCCACTCAACGGACTAAGCCTCTACGCCATCCCCACTCCCTATCAAGTTTTTACGCAAGTTACAGGGACCTCGCTCGCATTTCATTGAAGTGAATGATGTCATTGCTCCATCGACTTTGTGTAAGATGTAGAGACTTTATCACCAATAGCTGCAGAGACCAACATTTCGAATCTCCATCTAAACTAGCGCAACGTGAATAGTCCGGTTCGCCGAATTTGAGGCTGCTAAT